CGTATTTGTGAAAATACTTTTTATTAAGTACAGTACTAAGTTATATGACGTTCGTGTTATTGACCTTTGATTGTACATGGAAGGCTGTAGCTGAAAAGATAAAATTCAAAAATAAAAACAAACAGCAAAAACCGAAGCCTTCACTTCCGTGACATCTGTGCCTTTTAGTTCTATTTTGTTCGACGGCTTTGATTCGAGGAGCTAAAGAGAGCGCACTGTGAGAGCACTGACAAATGAGGCGAGTCAAGCAAAATTTTCTGAAAAAATTATTTCTACCGCATACCTCCAGGGTTCGCGGCGGTAGCTGTAGCAGCGGTGCATGCCCTCCAGCTATGCACAAGGCTGACAGCCTTTGTGTAAACAGTTATTGTTCAGGCTACGTGCTGTACGTGGACTTTACAGTTTGTCTCTTAATCCTTGACCATTTAGGTGAATATGGCGTATCCTTTGCTTGCATCTTTCTCTCTAGAGCTCGTACCACGCTCTGTGCATCCCTTGCTCTACCAACCTTTGCCTCCCAGCACGCCCACTCTGCCAGCCAGGGCTTCACATCACCCGCCGCCCTCGTTTCCCCATTTCTCTTTAGCACAAGCACACGATTTGCACGGAGCACAATGCCCTTGGGGAGCTCCGCTTTTCGCTCGTGCCGCGCACAGCCGTGCCGCCGGGCCCGTCGCCCGTCCCCCTCCGCCCCGCTCGCTCGGATCGCCCACTCGCCACGCTCACTTCGCCAACTCGCCCCACTCGCCGCGCCGAATCCGCTTGCTCGCCCTTCCCGCCAACTCGCCCCGCCCACGGGGCGAGGGCAGGGCAGAGCAGAGCGGGGAAAGGGCGGGGGCGGGGGCTGTTGCGGCCTGCCGTTGAACTCCGACCACGCCGCCCCCGGCTGTTTGAACTTGCGGCTAAGCGCCTCGAAATAACATCAGTGGAGCAGACACCACACGCAGGGCGCGCTCGGCCGTGAAATGGTTCTGAGGACGCAATGCGTCAGACCTTGTCATCAGGTGTATTTGGATGAACACGCTGTCGAAAACTGCTTATACCTGCCAGTTTTATTTTTTATGTAAACGCATTTTCTTTTAGGTTTATATTTTTGTATGATATTGGGAATATTTCTTATGAATCTTATTGTGAACGAATTAAAGCATCCAAATATTCCCATACATATCTGAAGTGATTTGTATTTTTCGTGTTTTATCAGATTTTAGTCTCATCAATTTAGTGCAACTGATACTTTTCATCTAGATAATTGTGCATTGTCTAATTTCGATTCATTAACGCATTGTCTAAATCAGATTATATTCGATACAAAAGGGGTCTTTTTGTAATCGTCACTGTCTGATGTACAAACGTTTCATACAATGAACAAAGGCGTAGGCAGGCAGAGAAGACTGCACCCAATTTCAATATGCGCCTGATGGTTGCTCGGGTAGGCAACTCTTCGTACCGCGACGTACGTCGGGCAGCGAGCGTCTGCGCGGGCAGGCGCCTGTCGGTCTCCTGGAACAGCGCCAGGTCAAGCACCGCTGCGATGCCGGTGCCGCTGTGGTCGTTTCTTTTTGGTGTGTGTCTGGAAAACGGCGGAGCAGAGAGCGTTGACCGAATCCGTCACTTCTCGCCCTGGATCGCTGCCCCGGGATGGTCTCGGGAGTTGTTTTGACATCGAGCGAACCTTTTGGTGGCATCGCGGAGTTCCACGTACGCGGAAGGACTTTGTTTTCGTTTCGAACTGCCGGAAGAGAATTTTATGTTTTCAAACAACCATCGATATTTTCCCCTTGAGAGAGCAAGAGACGTTATTTTTATAACGGTATTCATTTTTCAAATTTTTGTGAAAGAAAATCTGTAGCTGTTTTTTCTCCATCGTTTGATACGTGCGCTCTGTTTAAAAAACGTTGGATAAGCTGTTTCTCCAGGGCTTTTTCCAAATGCAAGCTTCAGAACATACATTCAATATACTGTTATATCAAGGTAAAACACGGGATAATCAAACAATAACTACAAATTAAATATTCTAAGCAAATCATTGATGTATACATGACCACTTCGCAGATTTGTTGTGGTTGGAACACTGTCACATTTGGTATTCCATACATAGTTACAATTCTTACTGACAGGACGAAATACAGATGTTTATCGCGTTCAAAAAGTTTCTAGTCTTGTAAGTTAGAGACAAATTTTAGTATTTCGAGTTCTTATGGTGGCCCAGATAATAAACAAGGTTCGACGTTTCTCCTGCCGGCCAAGTCCAGGATAATAATACAAATGCTCCATGTCTACACGATAAATGAGTATAGAGCGCGATGCGGCGTAATTTGTGGGCGACCGACAGCCCTTGCTTGGAGGGCTGCACGCGCGACGGGGCTGCCACCAGGGCGCGGGGCGCGGGGGACGGCGGGCGGGCGTTGGCCTGGCCGGTGCTTGGGCGTGACGCTGATGCTGGGGCTGCGTAAGCGGCGCGCGCCGGCGGCTCCTTCGCCCGGCGACCGCGACGCCAGCGCGCGCGCGAGCCGAGCCCAGTGTCGGCGCTCCCGAGGGCACGCGGCCGGCAGCAGGCCTTTCGTCGCCCGCCACAGGCTATCTGCCGCCATGCCACACTCCACCCTGCGCCGCCGCTCGCCGCTCGCCGCCCACCGCCTACCGTTCGCCGCCTACCGCCTTACCGCTCACCGCCGACGCTCGTCGCCGGCCGCCGCGCCGCCACCGCCGCCGCCACCGCGCGCGCCACGCCCCGACCGCCACCGCCGCACGCCAAACCGCCGCACCGCCAACCGCCGCCGCCACCGCCACCGCCACCGCCGCCGCACCGCCACCGCCGCCGCTCGCCGCCCACCGCAGGCCGCTCCGCTTGCCCACCGCCGCCAAACCCCTCCGCTCCCCACCCGCCGCCGCCACGGGAAGGGAGCGCCGCCGCCGCCGCCGCCGCCGTCACCCGCCGCCGCCGCCACCCGCCGCCGCCGCCACCCGCCCGCCGCCGCCACCGCGCCGCCGCCCGCCACCCCGCCCGCCGCCGCCACCGCCGCCGCCGCCACCCGCGCCGCCGCCACCCCCCCGCGCGCCGCCGCCACCCGCCGCCGCCGCCACCGCCGCCGCCGCCACCCGCCGCCGCCGCACCCGCCGCCGCCGCCACCCCGCCGCCCCGCCACGCCGCCACCCGCCGCCGCCGCACCCGCCGCCGCCGCCACCCGCCGCCGCCGCCACCCGCCCGCCGCCGCCACCCCCGCCGCGCCACGCCGCCGCCGCGCCACCCCCGCCGCGCGCGCCACCCGCCGCCGCCGCCACCCGCGCCGCCCGCCACCCGCCGCCGCCGCCACCCCGCCGCCGCCGCGCCACCCGCCCGCCGCCGCCACCCGCCGCCGCCGCCGCCCGCCGCCGCCGCCGCCACCCGCCGGCCACCCGCCGCCGCCGCCGCCGCCGCCACCCCGCCGCCGCCGCCGCCGCCACCCGCCGCCGCCGCCCGCCGCGCGCCACCGCGCCGCCGCCGCCCGCCGCCGCCGCCACCACCGGGAAGGGAGCGTCGGCCGGCCCGCACGGCGGGGCGCCAGCTCCATTGCGCGCAGTGGGCGGTTCGCAGTGAGCGTAGGGCGGTGGGCAGAAGGCGAGGTTAAAATCTCCCGGCTCGTGAAAAGCAGCCTAATGAATAACATAGCAGGCTCGTGTGCAAGTTTCATCGCATTACCACGGTGAATAATTCATTATCTCCTCATGGACCGAGCTTTGGAGGCTAGAGGCTCTGCCTGCGGGCACGTGATAAGGCGAAGAGGTGGAAGGGAGGTGTGAGTGAGTTTCCGAAGATTTGGGCTGGTGAGAGTTCGGTCGTTGCGTTTTTTACCGCTTTGAAAAATTGATGCGCGTAGATCAGCTCTTGAGAGGAAAGTGGGATGGATCAAGAAGAAGCAATGAGAGACGCTGCACATTATGAGAAAGAAAAGCAGCTCGAAATGCTTTAAATCAGAAATATTAAAAACATCATACCGTGAGAGAACTATCGTTTCTATTCTCGCAACCAGCTAATCAGTCTCATCATTAGAGTAAGGAAGTTAAAATGTTCATTTATATATTGACATTTTGTTTAAAATATAAACAAAAACATGCTTTTTTTTGCAAGTCTTGTAGTAGCATATATCACGATATGAAACGTCTATGCATAATGTCACAAGACAATCTCCTTAATGGTAAAGGTTCACTCCTTTACGCATATTTCTGCGTGTTGTAGTACTATTCATTATTGTATTTTGACGGTTTAATATGTTAATGTCTACGACGTTGTCTTCTCTATTTAATCAAACAGGTCATGAAAAAAGTAAACCAGTTTCTTTGAAAGAACATTATCGTTAATATAGCACTATGTTTCTAAAGAGCAGTATTTATTAAGTGATGGTAAGCTCAGTACTGGGGAATACTGTGATGGTGAAGTGGGGCCGTTCAAGTAAAAGTACACAACCTGTTGATTGTCTGGAAAAATTATTTTATGCACTTTACTCATCTTCGGAGTTCCTTTGGTCGTTGTGAAACGAGTCAAAGTGTGTCTTATTGTTTGGTTACGAGTTATTTTAACACTGGCGTTCTGAAATGGATGCCGGACAAAACTGTTAGAGAGATTCACTGATGTTTGCACTATTGGTGTTAGAAAGCTGCTCAATTCCGAAAACTTAATCCCGGAAGGCGGCGGAGTGCGGAAGACGTTAGGATTTCTGCATTGAGTGATAGGCGAATGTCACGGTATTTCAGAATAGAATGGAGGTAATCTCGCCCATGAACTGTCTTCTTGGACCATCTCGAAACATTTATGGGGAAGAATTTCTTGCCTGTGATGGTCTTGAATTGTATTTGTTAAAAATTGTGAATAAAGTTTGGATTTCTAGCGAAGCTTCAGGATGACATTTTATAATTTAGTAGCGCAGTTCTTAGAAAATCAATCACAGACTTCATTGTTTTCTATGAGGACCAATGTTTACCTAAGTAATGTTTTTCTCATGTAATTTCTTGTTCCTCTGCAGGAGGATGTCTTCAAATACCACGGCCGAAAAATGGGTCAACTGGAGCCCCACGTGTTCGCCCTGGCCGAGGCGGCTTACAAGTCGCTGCAGGCCACCGACGAAAATCAGTCTTGCGTCATCTCGGGCGAGAGCGGCGCGGGCAAGACCGAGACCACCAAGTTTATTCTGCAGTACCTCTGCTCTGTGACGAGCAACGTCAGCACCTGGGTGGAGCAGCAGATCCTGGAGGCCAACACCATCTTGGAAGCTTTCGGTAAGCAGGAACACGCAGGAACTCGAAGCACTTTCAACTTCGGAAAGTGAGAGGTGACTTGGTGCATCAACCAGGTTCGAGTTCCGACGGTGGCACGATTTTCGACTCCAGCTAGACAGCTAGATCGAATTCAGTCGCTGTCTAGAGGAGAATTCTAGAGTCCGGCTGCTCTGATCGGTAGTTTTCGGTGGTTTCTCGGATCAGTACCAGGCAAAAGCCGGAGCAGTACCTTAACAAACGGGCCACTGACCGCGCGTGATCATTCCTTCCTTCTCTCCGCTTACACACACCTACACTAACATTCACTACACTACCTCACACGCCGGGAGACCGTCCGGGAGCTTAGAGCTTGCCCTGACTAGGGCGGTGGGAGATAACTGATTGGGAGAAACCCCGCTTGCTGTCACTAACAACCAACCAACTATCAACTTCGTGGAAAGTTTCAGGAAAGTACGGAACATTAATATTCTTTTCTACAAGTATTAATGAAGTCATCGTAGAAAATTCGATTTTTTAAATGATAAAAATATTTTGACCATGATCGCTGTATTTATGGGTTAAGTCTTCGTACAACCATGCGTTAAGATCAACACGAGAATGTTGTAAAAAAAAGTTTCGTCAGTTGTTCGATTGTTCAGTCGTGCCATGCAGTCTACATTGTTATTCTGGAGATTAGTCAGATCAGTGGAAACTACTTTACATACACATAACAGATATGATTCTTCCAAATGTACTGCTTTAAGTGAAAGTGTTTGATTCATGTTATATTATTTTCCAATATTCTGTTACCTCTTAGATTATTCTTGTTCCCAACATGTAATGACATTTCTAAACAAAATCTTAGGAACATGTTGAAATTCTTTCTATAATATTCAGTACGTAGAAACTTTTCGCTTCCTTAACTAAAAATATTATGAGAATTCTTTGAATGCTGTAAACCGAGGCCGATAATTTCAAAAATTCCAAGGGACAACGAATATGTATTTCTTTTCATCAAGAAGAGATTCAATTGATACTCGTATTGTGTTTGGGAATGGAAATTCATATCGGTACGGTTAATATTCAAACAAAACTTCTCTCACTTGAAGAAACTTATATAACATTGGTTTCAGAAAAAACTCAAGATACGCAAGCAATTAAAATAACAATTTTTACCGTGAATAAACGTTTACGTCTTTTAAATCATTGTCTGTTATTGTTCTGTACCGAGAAAGGGGCAGTAGCATATTGGGGCAATGTAACAGAAGGTAACAATTATATTCTGACATTTTTTATTTCATCTGAAAAAGTAATAAGGGCAGCCAGTGACTTTCCGTTTGTAGGCTCTCTAAATAGGATAAAATATTTTCTCATCCTTTTCATAATAAAAATATGATACAACTTGTATCTCACCATTCTCTTCGTACAATCTAAAATCTTCCGTACAATCACAATTCTGTCCGTTCAAATAAATTCACATTCAAAAAGCAAATACATCACAGCTCCCTTTTTCTGTCATTTTGTAGGAAATGCGAAGACTGTTCGGAATGACAACTCTAGCAGGTTCGGCAAATTTATGCAGGTGTGCTTCGATCAAAAGTGGATGATCAAGGGTTGCATCATCCAAGATTACCTTCTTGAGCAGTCTCGGATTACCTTCCAGAGCCCTGGAGAACGCAATTATCACGTCTTCTACCAACTAGTAGCTGCTGCAAAGGTAATTAGTACTTTACATTTTTTCGTATTCTTCCTCGTTGTGCTTCTTGTCTCTTAGTGTAACATTTTGTCACTGAATTGAAATTGTCAATAATTTTTGCTAGTATTATCTGGATATTTCCTCCCAGTTCGACATCTCTGCTAACAAATGATAAAAATTTACTAAAAGGAGGACATTTAAAATACAAAAGAGGACGAGAGGACAACTTTCGTCAATGGAGGACTATCCTTCCTGATGGGGGGGCTGTCCTTCCAGATGGGGGACTGTCCTTCCAGATGGAGTCTTTGAGTCTTTCGCTTGAATTGGTGCATGGCTTTCGCAGAACAATCCCGACCTGGCGGAGCAGCTGAAGCTGCGGCCTGCCGAGTTCTACCAGTACCTCAACCAGTCGGGCTGCGTGCGGCTGGAGGGCGTGTGCGACGCGCGCAAGTTCGACGCGCTGCGCCTGGCCTTCAACGTGCTGCACATCCCGCAGGACATGTGCGACGGCATCTTCTCCGTGCTCTCCGCCATCCTCTGGCTGGGCAATGTCACTTTTGAGGTAGCGACCGGCGCTCGCTCACTTCGTCGCTCAGCGCTTTTCCATTGTTCTTACTTTTCCTCTTTTCTTTTTTCTTTCTTTTTATTTCTTCGTTTCTCTCTCTTTTCTTTTTCTTTCTATTATTTTTCTTTCCTTTTCCTCTTACCGTTTTTCTTTCTTTCTTTTTCTTTTTTTAAAATTTAATTATTGTGTGGCCATGTGTAATTTCTGGGTCCTCAATAGAATATTCTTATTACTAAGGGGTGGATTTTGATGACCTATAACACAGCCAAAAATTGTCAACAAAATGCTCTAAAATGATTTTTAAAACGCCTTAAAAGCAAAAAAAGGACCTAAATAATTTGATTAAAACCAGTTCAGATAAACAACTCAAGCTGTTGATATATTACTGATGTAATCGAGGCTTCTTCCTTTCGTTCAAGTGAACTTGGCGTGCAGACGTAAATTTGGACTGTTCTTTACCAGGAAATAAGTCTTTAATTATCCTGAAATCGACAAAGGCGCTAAAAGGCGTCAAAGGAATCTTAGATGACATACATCCGGCTGACATTACAAATTCTGAGCGAAGAAATTGTGTAGGCTACTAAGGAATTCTGTGGAGATCATTTGTTGCATCTCATAAATAAAATTTAAAGCAAGTACCATTAAAATGATATAAATATTGATGAAATCAGCAAAAAATGTATTAAAAATGACTGGAAAGGGTACAAATTGACTTATTAGTCGAAAACGACGATAAATGTAAAAAATACATAAAAATGGCTCATTTCCTTCTGTCATAAACATAGAGTTAATTTATGTACATTTTTCTAAAGTGAAAAGAAAATATTTCATGAAAATTCGCCCCCTTTATTACTACTAAGAGTTTTGTGCATTTTTGGTTTTTCGAGCTCTATTTGTTGGGTTTGTTTCACAAATTTACAAAATAGTTAATTTACAAAATATGCGAGTTAACTTTTAGTATTTAATAGATATAATAATTATTTGACTTAACTTTACCAATTACGTTTAGTTTATCTTTTCGAAAAAATGAACTGATTCGACAGGGATATTTGAAATTACGTCCTAGATTGATTTTTGTTAAATGAAAAGTATTGAGTGAAGTATAAAAACTGTATGAAATAGCGGAGATAATGAAGTCGTTGTTCTTCATTAATATGAGAATGCGGCGAAATCCAGGACTCTCTGCTTATTTCTCTCAAACATTTGTTTCGTACTACCTGTAGTTTTACTATTGATTAGTTTTCTGTTGATGAAGCTCTGATCTTCGTGCAAAGATTGAACTGCTGGATCAGTTCTATTATTTAAGGTAACAGTTCGATCATGATTTGCCTTTTCAATTATTTTTATTGTCTCATTTTAGTTTAATTATTACTAAGAGTATTAAATTATTGAAAATAATAGAAAACAATTAGTTATGTTTCCTCCTTTCTAGTTGGCATCTTGTGAAACGTGAAGAATTAAAGTAGATGTGTGTTAACAACGTAACCGAATGGACATTTTTGTTTTAAATGCTTTTGTTAATCTCTTATCCTACTGGACATTATCACAAGGCTCATTCATTCCCGTGAATATAATGTATGAATCGCTGGATTTGTTTAGATATTAAAATATTTGAAGGATATAAAATTAATTTAGTGGCACGAAATTCAAGTGTAAATCATCCCTCTCCTGTAATGTTGGGCAATGAAATAATTGCAGGTCTCAGACAGATGCTATTAGAGTTATTTATTAAATACATCGCGGTGGTTAAACTATTGATAACGTACATTTTGAACGTAGTACGAAGCAAACATGAAACTGCGACAAATTTGGTCATCTCTAATTTTTGCCGTTAATCATGGAAATAAATTTAGATTAAACATTTAGTTCCAAATTAAAATACTGGCAGCGTGATAAATTAGTCCGGGGCTGTAAATAAAACGTAATCATGAATTTTGGGTCAGACCAAATACACGTTTTAATTTTATGGAATTAATTTTCGTAGCTCTCAGTTTTTCAGTTTGCTGCGTTCGTGTTTTCACTCATTTCCTCAAATTCAAAGGTGAAATTGGAATTCAAGGTGAAATGTCAGGAGTAATATTAGACTCGAAAAATATTGCTGCCTATGCCACTACTACTTCCTTTACAAATATTCCACAGGATTACCCTTACCTACAAATGACAGTTCGTACACCTCTTGAAAAGTATCAAAACTAAACATAAGCCTGCATATTATTTTGTATTTTTTTTTTCATTTTAAGAGAGAGTCATTTGAAAGACGCCACCAGTGTTAATTGCAATTGAAGCGTCTAACGTTATTTTGTGGAAATGCAACGGTGGGTTGTGAAGGAATGGCTTGTGGATGGATGGTGCGAGCAGAGGTGCGGTTGTCGCAGGACATCGACGGCGAGCGCTGCCAGCTGACAGGCAAGGACAAGGAGGCCCTGGCGGCCGTGGCGGCGCTGCTGGGGCTGCAGGAGGCCGACCTCATCCAGGTGGCGCTGCTGCGCCAGATCAACGTGCGAGGCAACATCACAGAGATCCCGCTCAAGCTGCAGGAGGTCGGTTCACGAGCGTGTCATTTTAATTTTTTCTAGACCACGATGAAAAATTCGTCGTTTCGTATAATTAAGAACGCGCAACCGATGTAAATGGCATCGGGCTATTTTTGAACGCATGAACTGGAGCTATGAATAGTTTGATTAAAATTGTTATTATCAGATAATGCTTTAATATCTCAGAATGTCATAAAATGAAATAAATTTGTTAATAATTTTTAAATTTGGAGGGTAATTTTAAGCGTTGTTTATTCTACATGTAATTTGAATGAACAATTTTTAAGACATTACTTTTAACACAGTCTTTTATATTGTCTAAAAGTGTTATACATATTTTTTGGAGAAAAATGAAAAAAAATCTTTATAGTAGTCTTTGTCCGTAAATTGTGTACATATCCACGTCATTTGGTATGGTGATAAATTAAACTGCAAATGTCTCTGGGTAGTTTAATGGCTTTTAGATTCTGCGAGGAGTTAAAATAATTTATATATTTTATTTAAATATTATATCTTTTGTGCTCATTTATTTAATTTGAAATTCCGAGGTAAATCAAAAATATTGTTTACACGTTATTGTAAAACACAAAATGAAGGACCAAACAGCAAGTAACCTACGTGGCAGTTATGACTATTACTGTTTTCTATTTTCTATATGTGGAGGATACGTATTATAAAACGATTGATCGGTATAGTGGATATAGCGTTGGTAAACTAATGGAACGAAATGTCGTTCAGCGTACCAGCACTCAGCTAGGTTTCAGGATTTTGTGAAGGAAATAATGTTCAAGACAACATTAAGATTTTGTAAAGAAAATAACGCATATTTTTATTAGTCCTCCTGACATTTATCTGGGATATTATAAGAATGATGTTAATACGAATCTCGCTTGCAATAAAAATGAGTGATTAATATCCGGACTACTTTATTCTAATTTGCAAAAACTGGGTGCGTGGTGTACATCAGGCTAGTGGGGGCTCCATTGTGTTTCAGGCCAAGGAGAATCGCCACGCCATGGCGAAAGCGCTGTATTCCCGCACATTCGCGTGGCTCGTCAACCACATCAACACGTGCACGAACCCCGGCCAAGACGCGTCCCGCTTCCTCGGCGTGCTCGACATCTTCGGCTTCGAGAACTTCGCCGTCAACTCCTTCGAGCAACTCTGCATCAACTACACGAACGAGAAGCTCCACAAATTCTTCAACCACTACGTCTTTGCCCTGGAACAAGAAATTGTAAGTAGAATTTTTACCGCGAACTCTTTTCTTCTTTAAAATCTGAAGTGTACTCTGCTTTCTACATGCAAGTGTAAGGCGCCAACAGTTGTAGTGCAAACATGTGGGGATTTATATGATGTTCGTTTATTAAATACGAGTATGTATTTTTTTCTCAGCACACCTTTTCACGGACTACCTAAAGTCGCGTAATACGTTTCAATAATTGAGCAAGCTTTTCGGAATTGACAGAGCTCATTCTATTACATCTTATTTTGAAGTAATTATTTAAGGTTAGCAAATATTATACTGTTGGGACAGTAAATGACAATTAAATACGTTTTTTAAAATGTAATCCTACTACAGTGTTACTAAAACTTATGGGCAAGTATACTCGTATGTGCAGTAATAAATTTATTGGTTGTAGTATTCACTTCGTTCTGCCATAAATAATTGGCAATCTTTGTTTCACTAAATGAAAATTATTTAAGAAATTATACAATAAGTTCTTGTCTATCCTGTATGTCTGCAGTCCGTGATAAATTTAACATTTTGGAATCACTATTTTAATGTTAATTCATTAATTTCATTATAATAAATAATTTATTATTATAACTAATTATTCATTTAAAAATTTCCTAAAGAAAGATTTGTAATAAAAATACCATTTTCGCAAGCTCAAATGAATTAAAGATAATAAAAATGTTAATTTGTTGAATAATCTTAGTTTAAATTTACAATATATTGGCCTATATTTTTATAAACACTTTTATTTCACTTTCAGATAGGATACATAATGACAAAACAATATAAATTAAAAAGCTGTAACAAAGTGTCGTCAAAATTATGAAACTTATATCTAGACGCTTAGTTATGAAACTTTATACGTCACAAGAATTTTCATTATGTTAACTCTTTTTCTTTGAAACCCTTCCTTGACTCGCTGAGACGTTCATTTAAGAGCGTTCCTTTGCGGTGTCATCCATTTTTATCTTCCGCTACCCCTTTCCCTTCTTTTTTTATCTCCGTCAACTCAATTGATCGGAGTTTCACAAAGTTTAAAAATCTGCGATGAAATATGAAGTACGCGACCTTGCGCAGCGTCCAGAGTTTTCGTAGCTAATATTAAATTTCCTTGCGCAGTATCGCCAGGAGGAGATAGAATTCTCCCACATTCAGTTTACCGACAACACCACCTGCCTGGAACTCATTGAAAAGCCTCCTCGTTGCATTCTGAAGCTGTTGACGGAACAGTGCCATATGCCTAAGGTAAGATTGTTAAATATAAGTATAAGAAAATATAAAAACGTCCACGTAGTGTCGTTCTTTATTTCAGGTAATAATACTTGTATTTATCAGTTAATAAACGCGGTAATATTTTTCTTCCATATTTATCATAATAAAATTTAATCATGACGTTTACGTAAATTGTATTTTTGAAAATAAATTACTTGACTTGATATTTAAACTTAAGAGTTCTGATTTGTTGTTTAAAAATTAATCCTTATGTAAAAGATGAATTATTGGTTAAAATATTATTGGTATTACTTATTTTATACGTAAAATTCATTAATTCCTCGTTCAGAATGAGTAACTATAATCCTTACTGCAAAATATGAAAAATGTTATCTCGTAAACACGAAATGATTAATCTTTATTTTCTCATCAGAATAACGTTTCTTGAATATTTCCAAAACATGAATTTACTACATCAGACATATTTAATTATAATTTTTTGTTTGTTTTCAAGGGCTCCGATCTGGCGTACCTGACGAATCTTCACGGAGAGTTCGATTCGCATCCCAACTACGTCAAGGGAGACGACCGGCGGAAGTGGGAGAAAGAGTTCGGAATCATCCATTACGCCGGCACAGTCACGTACTGCGTGCAAGGCTTCGTCGACAAGAACCGCGACGTGCAGCAAGACGTCTTCTTCGACTTCATGAGCAGGTCCACAAACGACTTCGTGCAGGAGCTCACCATTTATCAGGTGCGTTTCCAGAAGTGTTGAGATGTAATGAGGAACTACGGCGTGAATTTACTTCCCTGTACTCGGCAGGTCGTCTGAAACATTGACTTTTATATTTCAGAGGCTTTACTAATTACATCTGAGTGTCAGGCAAACACAATTATTGTTGAAGTAGTGCCAATATCACTTAAGGTGTTAACTGTATTTTTATACACTCTTACGCCTCGCCACACTACCAGAAATTTTCTTTCGACCCCTTTACACTCTACAGTTTTTGTGCCGATTGGACGCTCAGAAAGTGTGCAGTCCAGACTGCATGATTTTTGTATGTTATTTTTTTGTTTGTAAAGTTTTTGAGCATGTTCGATATTTTTCATACAGAAAATTACCTATAATAATTACCATGCAACCGTGGTGCATGGAGTAATATACATCGAAAGAATATGTTGACCCTGATCATTTCAATTTCAAGCTTCTGTTCTTGCGCCCTATGCTGTAGGCAGAATTGTTATGTCATGCGCCCTGTGGGTAGCAATCGTAATGTATCCCATTTTGACTGTAATTTCGGTCAGCCGAAGTCGGACGGACAAAAATCAAACGAAACATATTCGTCCGACAGTCAATGTTTTCGACGCCGCCAAAAGAGAAGTCATTCTACGAGGGTTAGGGCACAAGCCAAGCAACTATCTTTTGCAAGAATACCAGTACTGGTGGAATATGAACTGTACACACGATAGGACAAGGTATAAACTAAGTGCATGGATATTAACGACACACCAAAATTGTGTTTAAAATGATAGTACTGGTTTCATATTCCTAAGCATTATAGCATATACGAGTTCACAACGTTCAAAAAGCATAACATACTCGTTCTAAAGGCTCGATTAGCAAAATGCTCTATTACCGCATGAGCGACATCGGTCCGTACATTCTGAGGTCGTCACGTGCGTGGCCGGTCTCTTACTACTCTGCGTCCTCGCCAATAATTTATCTGTCCATCTCGCGACTGTCCGGTATGGTGTATCTTCGATTATTTAATCTTCGATTATTTAATCTTCGATTATTTAATCTTCGATTATTTAATCTTCGATATTTAATCTTCGATTATTAATCTTCGATTATTTAATCTTCGATTATTTAATCTTCGATTATTTAATCTTCGATATATTAAATCCTCGATTATTAAATCTCGATTTTAATCTTCGATTATTTAATCTTCGATTATTTAATCTTCGATTATTTTAATCTTCGATTATTTAATCATTCGAACTTATTTAATCTCGATTTTTATCTCACTTATTTAATTTCGATTATTTAATCGTCGATTATTATTGTCGATTATTTAATCGTCCGATTATTTAATCGTTCGATTATTTAATGTCGATTATTTAATCTTCGATTATTTAATCTTCGATTATTAATCTCGATTATTTAATCTTCGATTATTAATCTTCTATTATTTAACTTCGATTATTAATCTCGATTATTAATCTTCGATTAATTTAATCTCGATTAATTTAATCTTCGATTATTAATCTTCGATATTTTAATCTTCTTAATCGATTATTTAATCTTCGATTATTTATC